ATTTGTAGAACTGTAGGGAAACAAAGTACCATGGCTGAAGGTTCCGTTGGCACACACCCTCGATCTCAGAGCTTGGGGAATTCTGGGAGATGTCGTTTCCAGAGGCAACTCAGAGATTGCACAGCCAGAGGCTGGGAGTTTGATTCCCCCCCCGGGCCTCCTTGACAGGGGCTGGACCCGATGATCCATAGGATCCCTTCCAGCTCTGCCATGGTGTTCATCATCATCATCTCTAAGCTTTGTTCTTCAGTCTTATCTTGCAGAGGAAAAAGGAAGCAGAAGGAAGCCTGGGATCAATGGGAAGGCAACCTGCATCTCTCTTTTTTTGGGGGGGAGCATCAGTTATCAACCTGCCCAGCCATCATCCCTCCCAGCTGACTCTGGTGAGGGTGCGTCAGCCTCCCGAGAAGGTTGGGCCGGAGCCGGCTGTCACTTTAACGCAGACCGATGGAGCTGCAGGAGGAAGAGAACCAGACCTGGCCAGGAGGAGCGTCAGGCCGGCTGTGCTTAGCATTCCTCACCTTAACCCACAGCATGCCGGGTGGTGACCGGCCGGGAGTTCCCCACCCTCTGGAAGGTTGCTGGCAGGCCGGCAGAAACAGCACAGGCCACAGGGCTCTCCTCTGCAAGATCCACCCTTTCATCTCAGCGCCCCTCACCGTTCTCCCCAATGTCCGCAGGTACTCCGGCGCCCAGCATCCTTTCAGATCTCCAGCACTGCAACCTCACTGGCGTTTCACACCGCTTTCTCTGTTGGAGCCCTAGAACGCTGTGCCGGCTGTAACCAGGCAGTAAATGGGACCCTTTTCCTCCGCCTCTCAACTCAATTCTCATACTAACCAAGCCTTTACAATGCACAGGGGTTGAAGATCCCACATGCACCTATTAGAATAATAAGAGACAATAATCAGGTGTCATGGAGTTGATTCTGACTGACGACGACCCTTTCCAGGGTTTGAGAGTGCTCAAAAGTGATTTCCCATTCCCTTCTTCTGGGCGGGATCCCTGGGAGTAACGTTCCGCTGGCCCAAGGCCACCCAGGCTGGCTCTTTCTCCCAGGAGGCCCCGTAGGGGAATCGAACCCCCAACCTCTGAGCTATCCAGCCATTACTACAAGAACAGAAGGCATGGAATAAAGCTGGCCCGACCGGACACCCGGTGCCAGCTGCCTGAAAAGACTTTCCTTTGTTACCTGAAAGCGGAGGCAAGCCACCCGGGTGAGTCAGAAATGATGGTGGGGCCAAGGAGTTCAGACTGGGGCAAAAGCTCCTTTGAAAAAGTAGGGTCTTTAGCATCCCCTGGGAAGTACTTTGAGGCCGAGTCAATGAGCACCGGTTTCCTTCGGAGTTAAGAGGTGAGACAGGCACCCAGGGATTAAAGCCGCGACCTGCAGTAAAATAAAGCTGTATTCTCCTCCAGCGCCACCCCTGACTTGGGGCTTCTTGGCCTGGAGACCCCAGGAAGCATCCCTGGAACTGCACTTCAAGTCATGGAAGGAAACCTCCTCGTGTGCAACAAGCCTCAGCCGGGAGGGCCACGCCGTGCAAGCTGGTGTCCGGTCCGGCCTTCCCAGTAAACACTCCAGTCTGTCCTAAAACCAGCTTCCTTCCGTCTCACCCTTCCTGCAAGTCTGCAGCTCTCAAGAGGCGCTTGTGATTTGTGGACATGCTTCTCCCACTCCGGGCTTGATTTACTTGCCTATAAAATTTATTAATGTTTGTCTCTCAAAATTTTTTTAAACCCAAAGAAGCAGCCCTAGCCACAACTCCGAAGGGCATGTCTCTTTCAGCTAATCAATTAAGAGCCCGCGCAAGCAGAATTATCTCATTGAAATATCAATTTTTAATACTGTTGCATCTCCCGGTTTCCTTTCAGCGCATCGCTCCCATGCGCCTTTGCGCTTCCCTCCCCATAAAGTTTGGCACACATCGCTCGCCTGAGGAGAGTCCCTGTGCCCGGCAAGTGCTTTGAGCCTCCCTGGGGTTGCATCGCTTTTTGCCCGGGGATCCCTAAAACCTCCAGCGCTCAGCATCACCCTTGTGTTTTTTTTGCAGAAATGAGAGGTTTTTCCATCTTCTCTGCAAACACTTGCTCGCATTTGCAAGAAGATATACTGGTTTTCTCCCTCTTTGCTCCGTCATGTTGGGGGCAAACGGCTGCTCATCAGGGCTTTTACTGGTAGTATCAATATTTCAGAGACAGAAACAACTCAATGCCTTTACTTTAGGGCAGGAGAAGGCAGGACCACTTATTTTCCTGAGCTTTCAGAAAAAGGAGCCATGTTAAGCTTTTTTAACCATGAGCTAAAAAGGCTTTTGTTTAACAAAGCCTTGTCGCACCTTTAAGGCTATCAGGTTTATGTTAGTCTTCCTTTCGCTACGCTGTAATCCAAAAATCATCACACCGAACCAAACTGTTTGCTTTAAACTTCCCAGGAGACATCTCTGCTACAGTTTTTGTTATAACATGCTACTTTTTCCAGACGGGAAGAGAGGATGTTTAAAAAACATGTTCTGGGTGGGGCTGTCATTATAGTTTTCTTTCTTGTTTAGTCAGTTTTCATCTCAGCATCACCCTTGTGTACATACTTTAGATATGTTTTACATACTTTATATATGTATATAAACAAACTACCTTGAGTTCCTCACATAGGGAGAAAGGTGATACAACAACAACAACAATAATAAAGGTGGTGGTGATCACATCCCTGTTCACTTTAAATTATCCAGCTCACATTTTTATTAGAACCACCCACATTTTGTTAGGGCCTTGCTATAAATTAGCAAGACTGTATAGTTTATGTTTGTTTGCACTTTGGAGACCATCAGTAGACTAAGATTCAGAGAAGACTCATTGGGAAAGACAATGACGTGGGGTAAAGTAGAAGGCAGGAGGAAAAGAGGAGGAACTCAGAGGAGATGGATTGACTCCATAAATGAAACCATGGTTTTGAGTTTGCAACGTCCAAGCAGGACCGTTAACAACAGGGCTTTTTGGAAGCCACTCGTTTGCTGGACCACCGTAACTTGGAAGTGACTTGATGTCACATAACAGCCATCGCTTGCAGGAGAAACTCACCCTTACCCCGGCCTCTTGGCCACTTATGTCTTTCCCCCTGTCCGGCCCCCTGTCGGGAAGGGCTGATGTGCTCTTAAAGATGGAGATCGGCTGACCTCTTTCCTGGAGTGGACCCGCCTGCCCCTGTAGCCTCCTGACCTCCTGCGTTGTGGGTCCCATCATCCAGGCTGTTCACATCAGCCTGAGAACCAGGCAGCGTATGGGCACCGCAGACCCCTAAGGCCATTTCTGTGACTCCACTGATGGGCACGGGGGCCACCAGGGGAAAGCCATGCTGGGTCTTCCTCCCGGGGGGGGGCTGATCTTACAGGCAAAGTCTTGGGTGGGCAAAGGTTGACCCGGAGCAAACACCCTTTAGAAGTCTAGCAAAAGGCAGTCCCCGTCAGGATAAACAGGCTTGGAGAGCAACAGACAAGGTCCAACCCCACCGCATGGATCCACTCTTAAGATTTATGGAGCTCGGCTGCAGGTACTTGGCAACTGGGAAAGGAAGTCGGGTGCAGGGTTTGCCCCCCCAAAAAAGAAGAGCTTTCTTTCATGGAGACCCTATGCCTGGGGAGCCCTTCTGAGGACCCTTTTCCTCCACCTGAGCTCTCAACCTGCGGGATCCTAGCTGTGCCTTCATCCCACAGCATTTTGGGGAACTGGGAGAGGATCTCATTCAGTCCGCCCGCACCCCCTGCCTCTGGCACACAGCTCCTGACCATCCGGGAGGAGCATAACCCAGTGTTCTCTATCCGAGCACCCCTCGGCCCCAACCGGCATGGCTCGGGTCAAGCAACCGGGGCCCTGGAAGCCTCAAATAGCTGGAGGCTCAAGGGTCCCTCACCACCCCATGAAGCACTACAAAGGCCCAGCCTAGCGGACAATGCATTATCCTCTCCCCCAAATGCTCCCTCTTTGCTACAGGGGTGTTAGGAGCAAACAGAACCCCCCCCCCAACATAGCCATCCTGTTCAGCTTCTCACAATAATTCCCTGGAACTGTGTGCGAGTGCGATTCTCAGCGTGTGCAGGAAGTGAGCTCACGCCGATTACATCACTCAGGGAGGGTGGAAATATAAGCCCCTTGATCGCCATAAAACTGTTATCACGGGCCATTATTGCTTAATTTTTAACCATTGTTTTAGGCTCATTTCCAAGAACATCTCAGCCGTCGAGTGCACAGAGGCTTGTAAAGTAATGGCAAGCTGCAATGTTTTATTCATGGACCAACGCACTGGGAGTACCTTTTGCACATGTGTGCACATATAGGTGTCGGTGTACACACACACACACACAGAAGGGATGGGATATCCTGGTTGCTCAAAAGTACTGTATTATAATCGGCAGGTCAGGATTTCTTGCCTGCTGGATCTGTGTTATCTCCCACTGAGACGTCTGGGTAGCCCCCCCCCCCCAAAAAAATCCAGCAGGTGTAAAACAAAGCAGGTCCACTGTGTATGAACTTCATGTATGAGATTTTTCCCACGAGGGGACACTCTGAAAGTGCTGTTATAACTGATTGTTACCTAGCCAGATATTTGAGCCAAATTCCAGTAACCTTTGTATCTTTTCCTTCTAGCTCTATTCATTTTCAGTAAGCTGTAGAAAAATTAAGGCATGGGGCATCTGAGAGTGTTATTAATAATAACCTTAGAACTACAGAGCTGCAAACACGAGGCCTTATTTATTCATATCCCCATCTTTCAACACTGTGATTACCTAGTCACACGTTTGTGCAATATAGTGAGCACCTGTGTATTTCTATTTAAAATAAAGTAACAATGTCCAATTGCAATATTTGCACACATTAGCACATGCTAGTTTAATGCAGACCTTCGGTCACCGTCCAAGAGACCCCACAGAGCCTCTCACCAGGGGCAAAAAGGACACACGGGACCCCAGTCCACCACACAGGGGATCAAGTCCAAAGACACTCACCGTGCAGTGGGTTGTGACCAAGCCGAGGTGGGAGCCCCGGGGTGGGAGCACAGAGCCGGAATAAGGTGTCCAGAAGCAGAAGGAAGCAGGGACCAAGGCATAGGCAATAACAGATGCAGGAGCACTGGAGTCCAGATGTAAAGATGCAGGAGGTGGCAGCAGCAGAGGCCGGACCACTGGACCTCAAAGGCAACAAGGCACAGCCGAAGACCTGGGTTGCCCAGGGAAACTCTGGGAGGGAGAACCCCTCCTTAAATAGGCCTTCCCTCCAGGCTTCCAGGTGAGCCTCATGAGTGGCCCAGCAGCTGCTACCCAGGCCAAGGCCTGATCCTGCAAAGAACAGGCCATTCCTGGGTCAGGCTGGCCCCGATCCTGCAAGTGCCCAGGCAGTAATGGGCCAAATCCTGGCACATTTCCTCTTTTGTGTATATGTGTGAAGAACATTCTCCTTCTTGGTCTTCCTCGCCCTTCTTTTTAGTGGTGCCTGTCCCCCTCTTCGGGGGGCTGGAGCAACACCACCACCACCCCGGCTACCGAGACCTGCTCTTGAAGGATCCAGCCTGGCTACGGGGATGGTGTAGCACCTTTAAGGGTGCCACAGGCGAGCACAGGTCAGTCTGCCAAACCTGTGGGCCAAACGCAGCACAGGGGCTCAAAAAGGAAGGAAGGAGAATCGCAGCTCCTGCAAGAATGGCGATTCACATTTTTAAAAAAGGGCTCAGCTCCCCCTTCCCTCCTGTTTAAACTCCTCAAATCAGAATGAGAGGCTAAGTATCAGGATGTAGAATACAAATCATCTTTATTCTTCTTTCAGCAGATGGCCTTCTTCAGGAGCAAGGTTTTAGCATCAGAACCTCCTTAGCTCATTTGTTCTGAATATTACCATTTCAGCACATGGCCTTCTTCAGGAGCAAGGCTTTAAGACTGGAACCCCCTTAGCTCATTTGTTCTGAATATTACCGTAATATCAAAATAAAGATTATTTACATTTTTCTACATCCTGAGACAGAGTCTCTCATTCTGCTTTCTGGTGCCACTGGATGTACCAGTTCCTCGTGTTTCTGCTTAATTCCTCAAATTGCCCGTTTTCAAAAGGGGTGTGGATTTCAAGCCGTGTAGAGAGAAGGACTGTGTGGTGAGATCCTGCTCCCCACTGCCAGTAACACTTTATCTTCCGCAAGACCCAGTCTTGAACTCTGCCCACAGCATGTCACTTCACACACCCACACCTACATAAGATAAGCCCTTTGCTTATTGCAACAAGTGGAGTGTGTGTGCCAGCCAAGCCTTATCTGGGGTCCCAAGGCTGGGAACCACGATCCTAGGTGGAAAATGCCACCCTTGCATGGCTGTTCTGCAGGCTGACAGCTTCTGACCTTGAGGACGTTCCTGTGTCTTGAAGAACCGAAGACACCATGAGAAAGAGGTTCTTGCACTTTGTTCTGCTGCAGAAGTGGCAGAAGGGCGCTGGCCAAAGACTTCATGTATAGAAGATGCGCCTCAAGCACACTGGATACACCCCCTGATGCCCAGCTCAAGCACATCAGGAGAAGGTTCCCTCCTTCTTGCAATGCAAGCCACTCTTGTGGGCCATCCACTCTACCAAGGGCCGTTTCCTGGGGCTCCATAAATAGCACGAACAACCCAATGGTGTGCATTCACAGAGGCCACGTGGAAGAACAAGCCAGCTTCTTGAACCTCAGCTTGAAGTTTTCCCTAGTCGCAGTGAAGATCAATCACTGGTTGCCAGACGATGATGATATGGCATGCAGTTATTATATCTCAATCACAATCTGCCAAATCCTGTCCCGTTTCTCTGCCAGAGGATTCAGAAGCGCCAGACGTACTAGCCAGGTCTTCTTCTCGCTTGGCGCAGCATCGTGTCCACATCGGCCCTCGCTCTTGTAAAATTCTTAAAACAGCCCTGAAAATGAGGTCATTGTGATTATTTCCACATCTCGGATGAAGGCTGTCTGGAAAGCTGAGGCAGAAGCAGAGGCTCACCAAAGTTTTTTTTTTCCACCGCACAGGCTATGATGAGATTTGAACCAAGGACTTCTATCTCTTGTTTACCTCTATAGGCACAGAGGTGAGGGAAGCTGGTCCAGTGGACCCCAGTACCAACCACATCCAGATTCCATGGCTAGCTCAGTATTTATTATAAAAATATATACAACACACACAGAGAGGCATATGTAATGGGTAAGCTAAAGCCACAGGTGACATTTTCACCAGCTTTTACGTTCACTCTGCTGTCTTTGCATCCGGCCCGTTACTTCAGTCCTTTTTACTTGATGAGGTGTGGAGGAGCAAAGGGAAGGCCCCCCCCAGTTCGGCCGGCTTGGTGGGAGGTAAGAGACGGAAGTTATAAGGCAAGACAGCCTCAATTGATCCCATGGTCACGGAGATTCCCACCCTCTCCTTCCCACCTTCTGGGTCCCCAACCCTCCATGGGGGAGGTTTATTCTCTCTGTGCTTGGCTCCCTATGGACTGGGATCAGAGGTGCTCTGTGGGGGGGGGCTGTATCGGGGGGGATGCTCAGAGTCCGTCAGCCATAAGAGAAAACATGTCTTGGGCAGGGATTATGCCTGGAAGCAGGAAGAAGATGCAGCAGAATCTGAAGGTTGCCATACAAGGGAGGTTGAAATGTAGCCAAGTGGACCCCATTGCTTTGAACATGAGGTTTTGGCTTTGCTTATTGTTTCTGAATGGACTTGGGAGTTTTAAGGACCGGGGAAGGAAGAAGCTGTCATAAGTTACCTCCTTCCATGAAACCGTCGTATCTTCATCTCCCTTCCTAGTCAGCAGATGTTACAGTGCGGATGACCCCCTTTCCTCAGCCTCTCATCATCCTGGGTTGGTCTCCCCTTGAGTCAGTGGAGGGAGAGGCTAAGCACTCCTGCTGCCCAAGAGTAACTCTTGGAAGACAAGAGCTAAGGTCTACTCCGTAGCCCTCTGGGTCACTCAGCTATAGCGGCATGGATTCGAACCTGGGGCCGGTGGTTAAGGGACCTGGATCTGAAGGTCTTCCTCGTCATCGACGTCGCTGGTGCCGTCGCCCGGATCGTCGGGGCCGAAGCGGGAACCACGAATCTTCCCAAAAAGAGGGATGTTCTGCTGACGGCGCAGCCTGTTCCGGGACAGAGAGAGAGAAGAAGCTCAAATATCTACATCACCATCGTTGTCACGGTTGATGTCATCATCACAACATTTGCGTGCTGCTTTCCCACCCCTTGAGGTTCCTCTTAGGTGGCTCACCACTGCAGAGCCAACTATCAGACAGTGAGATAAGCAGGAAGATCAAGTTTCACACAATCTCCCTGGCAGCTGTTTGGAGATCCTGCAGCTACAGAAAAGCAGTACCAGGGTCTGGTCCACCTGCACAAATCAGGGTTTGGTCAGGCCTTCACTGGACCACAGAAGTGGCCTAACAATGCAATTTTCCCCCAGTTCCAGCAAGCCTTTTTCAAAAGGCTGGGCATCACAGAGGTTAGGCGGGGAGGAGAGACCCTTGCCCCATCGTTCTCCTACGGCTGAATCCAAACATAAAACTCGAGGACCTTCTCAAGTTCTCCCAAGCTTCCCACGGAGTCCACAGCACCTTCCCGCACCTCCCTTGAACCTAGAGGCTGGAAGCTTGAGGAAGCAAACGAAAGAACAAACCCAGATGGCGCTTGTATGTGGAATGAGTTTCCAATTGACTGTGTCCAAAGAGTAACATATTGTTGCTCTGCAGGTGAAAAAGGAGCTCATTGCATTATCTGTAGCACTGCCTGTTCCATTGGGGGTGGTGGTGGAAGAAGCTGAAGACTGACGAGACACTGGCGTAAACCATGAAAAGGTCCTGACAAAAACACTCTATGAACGTGTAAGAATAATCTTCAAAAGTAATTTTTGAATGTAACGAGAAAATGTGGCTCATACAACAGTAAAGCTACATCTCCTCTCTTCATGGCTTTCTTCTAATAATGGGACTTTGCTACACCCTTGCAAGCCAAGAAAAGCATGTCCCTGACGCAGCAGCCTTCACTCTATGCCCAACTGACCATAACATAGAGCTTGGCTGGTTCAGTTTCCCACAAACCGGCACCCAGTCATCATTTTGCACGGGGATTTTACTTCTCTACTCAGCTGATCAACTCACCCATTTCTGCCTTGCAGAAGACCCTGTCAATCTGGGAAGAAGATGAACAAGTCACGTGTGGGGATTTTACTTCTCTACTCAGCTGATCAACTCACCCATTTCTGCCTTGCAGAAGACCCTGTCAATCTGGGAAGAAGATGAACAAGTCACATGTGTGGGGGTCCCCCATTCTCACTACCCTGCCCTCCAGAAAGCTGATTCAAGAAAAAAAGATATTTATTTAGTTAGGTTCTGGCTGACGTTTTCCTGGGAGTGCCAATTTTGTAGATAATTGATTTTTTTTTGGATTGATTTTCCTTTCTTTCTTCTTTCCTTTAGATCCTCAGCAAGAAGCTTACTTCTCCCATTAAAGCCTTCTAAGAGATATAAATAAATCTGCCTCCTTGCTCTCCCACCCACCAGCGGGTAAGAGAGATCCTGCCTCCTGTTTAAACTTCGTCCAACTAAGTGGGTGTTAGATGCTGATAAAGCCAAAGCGGGCCAGACCGTCCGTCAGTGGCTCCAAGCACCACTTACAGGCTTTTGACAAAAGCCAGCAAAGTTGACTGGAAGCCTTTTCCAGATCTGGGACGTTTAACAACTGCATATTATCGTCTGGAACTTCTTTTGTTTAGAATTAGGGAGGCAGAAGCAGGAGACGGGAGGTTAGTGAATTAGCTCTCACGGCTAACATCCATTATTCAGTTCGGTAGTCCTCTTATGTTTTCTGTCCCACGAAAATCATATCAATAATTATAGTTAAGAATTATTTACCTGTCTGCCAGTAATGAAACATGTATTTCTGTATTAAGCATATGGGCTTCTGATCATCATCTTAGAATTGCAGAGCTGGAAGGGACCCTATGAGATCATCAAGTCCAGCCCCATCAAAGAAGCCCAGTGGGGGAATCGAACGCCCAACCAGCAGTTGGTTGAATGGATTGCGTGGGTGTACATGTACACTGAAACAGAGTAAGACCGGCAGCAATTCCCATTGATTAGTCTTCAAAGTGCCACTCAATTTTGTCTTTCTCTTCTCCCTGTTTCATCTTCCCAACATGCAGAGACACAACAACACAGCAGCTTCTTATGGAAAGAAAGCTCTGATCGAAGAGTTTCTAAATCCGCTAGGATTTTTTTTAAAATCATCATCTACAGCTTCCTGACATTTCATACCTCTGCTATGCTAGATTATAAAGTCAAGGAAGGAAGCGACACATGCCCTAAACATAGTCCCCAGATGTTTTTGGACGAAAATGACCAGAAGCCTTCATCCTTAGCTGTGCTAGCCAGGGTTTCTGGGAATCTTAGTCCGGGAACATCTGGCGGCTCAAGGCTGAGAAACACTGTTGTAGAAACAGATGGAGCAAAATACAGAGGATTCACAAGTGGATTCCAGCAAAACAATATTTTTTTTTGGGGGGGGATCCCTCCTCCAAGCTCTAGCTATGGAAGCAAAGGTGGCCCGTGAAGATGAAGGATGAGGAACTTCATGACTCGGTTGGTAAACTGGTTACCTGGTGCGGCAGGCTGGCTCGGAGGCTGAGTGATGAGTCATGAAATCCCACGAAATTCACCCCTGCCAGAAAGTCTTAAGCAAGCCGCTCTGTCTCAGCACCACCCAACCTGCCTCTGGGACACAAGGGGATCATAATCGTGGCCAAGCTTTGCATGGCTGTTGTTTAGGACTACAACGAAACAAGGCACAAGAAGTGGAGAGCGGGAGGGAACCCTCGGGATTATGGAGTCCAGCCCCTGCCACGGAGGCCCGGCGTGGGAATCGAACTCCAAGCTTCTGGCTCCGCAGCTAAATGCCTGAACCACTGAGCTATAATAATAACATACTGTCAAACCAATCTAAAGTTATGGTGCCCCTTTTCAGGGTTTTTCAGATAGAGAATACACAGAAATAGTTCCCCATTCCCTTCTTCTTGGGGGTGGGGGTTGTCCAGCCCCTGCCACGGAGGCCCGGCGTGGGAATCGAACTCCAAGCTTCTGGCTCCGCAGCTAAATGCCTGAACCACTGAGCTATAATAATAACATACTGTCAAACCAATCTAAAGTTATGGTGCCCCTTTTCAGGGTTTTTCAGATAGAGAATACACAGAAATAGTTCCCCATTCCCTTCTTCTTGGGGGTGGGGGTTCCCTGGGACTTTTCAGGGTTTTTCAGATAGAGAATACACCGAAATAGTTCCCCATTCCCTTCTTCTTGAGGGGGGGGGTACCCTGGGACGGTGCAGCTAGCCCAAGGCTACCCAGGCTGGCTCTTCTTGCAGGAGGCACCGTAGCAGGGAATCGAACTCCCCACCTGGCTCCGCAGCCACATACCTAAACCACAGAGCCCTCCAGCAGTTCCCTGAGGGTGCTTCTCCTCATTATTTCACCTTCACAGCCATCCCACGAGACGAACTGGACGGACAGAACGAGAAGACGTGAGAAAGGAGACTGGCTCAACATCATCTCTGGAGTTCTCTGCCTGCGGGCTGTGAATCTGCCTCGGGGTTCCTCTGCTTCTAGAACGACTTTGTAAGGATCACAGCGGTTCGCTCATCTGAAAATCTGCCCACAGAACGGCCCAATCTTTCTGTGCTGGCCGGCTAATCTCTTCCACACTGTGGTGTGTACGGTGCCACAGGAAATCGGGTGGGTTTTTCAGTGTGCAGCTGGACTCAGAAAGGGGAGTTGAGAGAAAAATAAATGTGCAGCTGGAAATCAATACATGTGCAGCTGGATTAAAAAGAGCAAATTATGAGATGTTCTCCCTAACTGTTCAGGATGGCTAGATAGCTCAGTGGTTTAGGAATTCGACTGGGAAGCCAGAGGTTGGGAGTTTTTTTGTTAAGCCAGCCTGGGTAGCCTTGGGCAAGCTGTACGATCCCAGGGCACCCACCAGACGTAGAGAAGGGGAAACCATTTCTGAGTATTCTCTACCTGAAAAGGGTCCTCGTAAGTCAGAATTGACTTGACGGCAGATTGTTCCGGTTGTTGTCAATGTCTGTTTACTAAGAACCTGAACAACAGGCAGGGAAATGCAACAAAATTTTCAATTGCACAGCTTGGTGTCCGATGACATATTAGAAAAATAATCCCTTCAGGAAGCGACAGACGTCTGCTCTTTGTGCCTGAGGAAGTGGACCGCAACCCACAGAAGCTCACTGCGAAATAAATTAGTCATAGTCTCTAAGGTGTTCCCTGTGCTGAAATGGCTACCTTTCGGAACAAGGTTTCTGCCAGACTTCTGAAGGGGTGAAGAGATTTTGGGAAGCTACATCGCCCTTCTTCCTTGTCGGACCAGGACCATTACGATAATTGTGTTTCATCTTTGTTGAAGATTTTGAAACAGAGTGTGGACAGACATCCTTCAGCATGCTTTAGCTGGGGTATCCTGCATAGCCCACAAAGGCAACTCCAACCCTACGGCCAAGATCCTATTGCGCAACGTCATGGCATAGAGCTGTATTGATGTCATCGACTCTGGCTTTTTAGGGTGGGAATGAAAAGCTTCCGTCCAAGTCCCCTCAGGATCCAGGGATCTGTAGGGATCCCTTCCCTCCAGAGCAAGCCTTTGGGAGCTGCAGAACAGGGGAGAGAACTCTTTGGTGCGCAAAACCAACCCCTATTGGTCCCATAAGGTTATGCAAGAGGATCCCAGCCTAGGATTTTATGATTTGTATGGAAATCCTTGGCCGCTGCAGAAGCGCAGAAAATGAGAAGCAAATGCATACAACTGATAGGTACAGTTCATCGTTGGGACAGAACGCTTGAGGCGCCTTTCACTGAGGAGTGCTGCCAAGCTGGGAACGACGTTGGCTCAAAGCATCAAACGAGCCAAGCCGAATGAAGCAAGCGGGATCCAGGAACAGCCTTTCCATCAGCTTCACGGCACTCCAAAGCTTGGTCGCTAGCCTGGAAAATTACGACTGCCATGAGCAATTGCCCGGCTAACCTGGGGCCATCGGGTTCTTTCAACGATGAGAGAAGGTCCCTCCATGCCAGGTGCTGAGAAGGCAGAGCAGCCCGACCCCCAGCTGGCCTCCCTAGCCCTTTGGCTGGGAGACCCATTATCGCCTTGCCCCCTCGGCTTCACTGGCCCCTTGATCTTCCCAGCCTCCCAATTTACACGCCAAAAATTTATGCCTCCGATTTCCACTCTGAACCCAGGAGGAGCACAAAAATGAAAAGATGCCCCCTCCTCCTGTACTCCTTCGAGGTGCAGCCACCCAGCTCCATCCAGTTTTTACTGGAAAAGGCATGAATTATTTAAGAAAAAAGGGCGGCGAGGATCTGTTAGGGAGGGAGGCGAAGGCTCCATTATTTTCCTATGATTTAATGGCAACTTCCCCAATAAAATAAGAAGATAAGAATCATCTCTCTCCCCACCCCTCTCTCTTCCCCTTTCTTTTCTTTTTTTTAAAAGCCCAGCTGCTTGATCAAAGGCTCTTTGGATGGAGCACAATCGATTCGGCTGGCAGGCATCTCGGTGTTTTATTGCTGGAGAAGCGAATGTGCAAATTTAAAAAAAAAATAGAGAGAGAGCGAGAGAGAAAGAACTTTTTAAAGGCAATAAAATGGAAGTATCTCTTAAAGGCACTTTGCTTGGCATGGCATGCAACCTCTAACCCTACCCCCACCCCTTCTTCCCTCCCAGGCTGTGTCAGGATCTCCTGGACAGAAGGGCAGCTTTTAAAGGCCAGAATCGCTCTCTCTCACGCAAACCCGCCTTAGCGGCAGCTCCTCCGTTCAGCGTATACAGCCTCGCCCTCTAGTGATGGGCAGAAATGCATGCAAGCCAAAAAAACCTCCAGAGCTGCAATTCTAAAAGGCACGAGTCTGGGAGGAGAAAATATCCCTTGTCGTTTTTGCTGGCAGTTGCAGATATATTTTCCTCCTGGGCGTGTAAGGCTGTGTGATCAGGAAACCCCTCCTTCGCCTCATATCATCTTCACAACCTATCCAAGAGGTGAACGAAGCTGAGCGTATGGAAGCAGCCGGCCCCACCTTGCCGGATGAGTTACGTGGCTCAAGAGAGACCCTGACCTCCCTTCCGAACTCCCCCACAACGCTCTAAGCACAACGGTAATTGACTTCATGGAGATCCGTGGAAGGAAAGTGGTGGCGGTGGGACTCTGGGAGAGATTTATCTTCGGATGGAAAACGCAAGGCGAATGCTACTTTTTCCTATCAAGGGTGTGTGTCTGGGTGTTTGTTCACAGGTTGGAGGCCAAAGTCAATGGGGTACCGGGAGAGAAATGTGAGGGGTGGACTTCCTCCCCCTCCCCTAACTCTTTCTCTCTGTTACCCATTCTTGACTCTTCATCCAGGGGTTGGCAACGGAAGGACACAGCCTTCCTGGATTGGCAGAGGGCTGGGCTTTACGGCCCTCCGGTATAAAACTATCTAGCCTGTGCAACCAGGACTGCTATGTGTTGTGGGGCAAGAGCAAGCGTTCCGAGTTGCACACAAGACCGAGAGCTTCCACTCACTCAAGCAAGTGAGCCGATCTGGATGCTGCAGAGGAAGACAATCCTCCCTACCGCCAGTTACGGCGAGGACTAATTTCTTCCAGCTTGCCTAGAGTGAGAGGCCCAGCATTGCACCTGTTTCACACATGCATGGAGATTCCTCTTGTCATGCATGTTAGGGAGTGTGCAGGCTCAGCCCGAAATTCCTTTGAACAGTCTCTACAGCAGAAGAGGCAAGCCACTTTCGAAATGGAAGGAAGGCCAGCCTCTTAGCTGTAGAGAAAACGTCATAGGAAGAAATCTCTGCATGCACAGTGCTTTCAGTCATGTGCAAATGTCATATTTGGACTGTGCAGTTCATGCCCCTTGATATTGCAGCCATCAAGCGATGCACACGCGTGTGCAAAAGCTAGCCTCCGGCGCAAGCCAAATTCACCCAGGGAAGTTTTGTGTGGATGATGCTTTATGCTGTCATCCCGAATAAATGCAATTTCTCTTCTTGATCACGCTTCGTCCATCCCCCTACGTCGCTTGCCTCTCCTTGGGCTGAACCTACCGGCTTCCGTCCGCTTAAATGCGCTCCTCCCTACCTGGACTGCAGGTGCTCCACTTGAACTTGGAGGTTCTCACTTTGCTCCGTCTGCTCATCGAGGGACCTCTGCAATTTCCGGGCCTGGTTGTGGGCCTCGTCGAGCTGCACGGGGGACAGACACAGAGACCTGTGTGGGCAATGAGCTTGCCAACCCTACTTTCTGTTCTCCGCGCGACACCCAGAGTTGGTGGCACCAGCCACCGTTCTCACATCCGCACCCTTGTCAGGCCTTCCTTTGCATCTTTCCCTGCTTCTCCGACTGAAAGAAGCCAGTGGGGATCCTTTCTGAAAATGGCTCCTCTCTTCAGGAACAGGAACTCATGCAGAGAGGCGTTAAAGGAACCTCCCCCTGAATCTACGGGGCCCGACTCTCACCGCTCTCTCTCTGCTGGCTGTAACAGGAATGTTCAATTTATCTCCGAAAAGACGAACACCGGTAAGAGCTTGGAAAAATTAGGTTTCTGGGCTCCCAGGGCAGCTCAACCAACACACAGACCCAATGGCCTAAATTCAACTCTTGGTCTCCACTAGAGTAGACCCACCCGGTCAATGAAATTCACAGGGCTATCAAATTCCTAAATGAGCGACGGAGTCCATGGTTCCACTCAATTGGGGTTATTGATGGGATTTTGATCCAGGCGTTGCAGTTTGACAGGCTAACTTTTTCACGCTCTGAGAAAGGAGGGACAGCGTTGCAGTTTGACAGGCTAACTTTTTCATCCTCTGAGATGTGAGTGTGTGTGTGGGGGGGAAAGGCTTACTTCAGTGTTTGTGTGTGTGTGTGTGTGGGGGGAAGGCTTACTTCGTCCTCCGCTTGAGCCAGCTCTTTCTTCAGCTCTTCGACGCGCAGGCGTAGCTTCTTCACCTCACCCTCGTGCTGCTCCACCCGCCGGTTGGCGTGGGCCAGCTCGGCCATTTTCTCCTGGCACTGTTTCTTGAGCTTTGTGTGGACGTGCTTCAGGTCGGCCAGTTCCTGGAAGGAGGCAAGGCCGGCGCATCAGCGAGCAAGATCCTGACCTCTCCCAAGCGGGGATCCTGGCCCAGGCCACCCGCTCCTGTCCTTTGCTCCCTAATGCGAGATCGCAGGCACTCTGCTGTGGCGAGGGAAATAAACAGCGCTCTGCACTTGGTCAAGGGAACTCTTCTCTCTGGACAAAATCCTATGGTTCATCAGCTTCCTTCCTCCCTCCCTCTCTTCCTCCTTCTGTCATCAGCTTCCTTCGTCCCTCCCTCCATCATCAGCTCCCTCCCTCTCTCCCTTCCCTTGTTCCTTCCCAAAACCCACTCCACTTTCTCTCTTTTTCGCCAATGGAAAGATGTGCTTGCCCTCTAGTGTTGATTCTTAACACCTTTGATGCACCTCTCCAATCAAAGGCTTTTCCAGACATTTCTTCCACTTTCACACTCTTTTCTATCCATTAATGCTGAAATGGCATGGCCTTGGTGGGCAGATATATCCAAACCCCTCTTTGGAAAACCACTTGTCTTCTTGCTCAAAAGCTCTGCTTCTTTTAATGACCTCTTTCAGAAATCTACTTCCATGCCAGAGGGTTTTTTTTCAGTGCCTCCCCCCCCCCTTTGGAGTGTTAACTGTATTTAGTGAAAGCTTCTGCCTAGAAACGGCCTCTGTGGGCATCAACTGCAGGAGGAAAGTGCTAAACGCAGCCCTGGTACAAAGGGATACTAAAAACAAAGCCATGCTTTCGGGAAGAGCAAAAAAAGGAACAGGAAGTCATGGAGAAATGTCCCGTAGGAAGCAAGAGAAGGAGAGTGTCATATGGATGCTGGAAAAAAAATATGGTTAACATCACTGTTGAAGCTGGTACTTTAAGAAATGTGAAAATCCTAGAATCCTAGAATCATAGAGTTGGAAAGGGCCTCTAAGGCCATCGAATCCAACCCCCTACTCAAGGCAAGGGTCCCGATCCGAGCAGAGGGTGGTCTGGTTTTCTCTTGAGTGCCTCCAGGGTTGGAATGATCCCCACCTCCCTCTGAGGTCATGGGTCCCATGGTTATCCTTATTTAACAGTTAAGATGTTTTCCCTGATATTTAGCTTAAATTTGGCTTCCTGTCAGCTGAGCCCATGATGATGCGCCCTGCACTCTGGGTGGGATCAAGAACAGACCCAGCCTCTCTTCTGTAGGACGACCCTTCAAGTCTTTGAAAAAGTGCTATTGTGTCTCCAGTCCATGAAAGGGAACGGTGTTTCCTGGAAGACGCATTTCTGAAGGAATGGAAACTTAAGCATTTTGTCTGCTGGCCTCGCTTATGCAGGATCTTTCTGGAATGCCAAAGGGGTCAACGAACCCCCGAACGGCTTCGTTGCCCTGGGGTCTCTCTTCCCGTCCCTGTCCCCAAACCTGAGGCTACCTTGTTCTTTTCGAACAGCTCCGCTTGGATGGCCTTGAAATCCGTGTCCAGGGCGCTGGCCGTCTGTCTCCTCTTCCGGGCCAAGACCTCCTCCAGGTCCTCGATCTGGGCACGCAGCTTCTTGTTCTCTCGTTCGAGGTTCAGTTTCTCCGTCTCGAGGCGTTCCCGCTTCCCCCATTCTGCCGCGTTTTCTGCCTGGAGACGCTCCATCTTTGGGCAAAGGGCCAAAAAAAAAAAAAAATTTAAATCAGACCAGTCATTGAAACCCATCTGCAAAAAGGGGTCTTCTGCATCAGCTCACCCATGGATAATAATAACCAATTCCAAATAACCTCTTCACAAGGTGAGGTGAAGTCTCTGGCCTGGGACAGCCGCACGACATGCTTCTTCTGGGCGTGCTGTTGGCCCTTATTGATGGTGAGGTGAAGTCTCTGGCCTGGGACAGCTGCACGACATTCTTCTTCTGGGTGTGCTGTTGGTCCTTATTGATCTTTTAAACCACATGTATGCATGGAGACCAGGCCACCAAGACAGACCTCCCACCCACCTCACATGCACTCAACCCCGCATAGCCTGTTTGCGGCTGTGCACACACTCTAGCACGCCTGTGCGAGCACCGTGCCGCCCTTTGCACATGGGCATGAGAGCGAGCGCAGCCAGACAAGCGCCGCACCGCTGTTTGTGCATGAGCACAGCATGTGTGTGCTCATGCGAGAGAGCATGCACGCTTGTTCACGCATGTGCGCAAGCACGGGGCTGCCCTGTCTTCCCCAGCCGGTCCACGCACCAAAAAAGTTTGGGGACCGCTGTTTTAAACCACATGTATGCATGTCAGGCTGATTTAAAGTGGGGATCACTGGGTAACTCATAACACCTTAATGCACTCCACACACAGGGATAAACTGTCCCCCAGAGTCAGAGAATCCTAGAATAGCTGAGTTGGAAACGGCCTATAAGGCTCTTGAGTCCAAACTACTGCTCGAGGCAGGCCTACCAACCCCCCTCTCCAAAATCAGAGTTGGGCAGTTTTGAAAAACCTATGGAACCACTCCCATGCATCCCCCAACCACGTGGGATAAAAAATGGTTGGATCACCGGACACGTTTTGTGAAAACTCAGGTCTTCAGGGGCCAACCCTTCCCGCCCTCTCTCACCTCCGAGCGCAGCTCAGCCAGTTTCTTGTCCATGCTGGATCGTGCCCCCAGTTCGTCTTCTAGATCCTCAGAGATGCGTCCCAACTCATCCTGGTGGATCTCCTTCAAGATGTTGAGCTGCAGGGAAGAAAAGGGAGGTCAAAAAACCATGTTGATTCTGGCAACCCTCTGGTCCTGGTGTTGCCTCTTGGCTATTACTACTCAGCACACTGCAGGAGTGTGTGTGTGTGTGCGCGCGTGTGTGCGTGCATGTGAGTGAGCGTGTGTGGCCTTTCGTTGCCCACCTGCTTCAGCACTTCCTGCTTGTTCTTGTTCAGGTCCTCGTACTTGATCTTCCACTGGCTCAGCTCCCCTTCCAGCTTCTCGATGTTCTTGCTGAGGGACAGCTTGTCCCTGAAAGAAATGAGGACATAAAAGCAGGGCTGAGGGGTGGCAGCGGTGGGAGGAGGGTCTTTTCCTTCAGAAGGAATCAGGTGGGTGTGTGTGGGGACACACCAAGCAAGGAGAGAGCGATGCTCCCTGGCGACACTCACTCCCGCTCTTTGAGGAGCACTTTCTGGGATTCGTCCAGACGGAGCTTCAAGGCCGTGATCTTGGTGGCGTCCTCCTCAATGACTGAGACGTCCTCCCACAGCAGCCGGTTCCTCTCCGGACGGGCGAACGAGGAGCGGACGCTGACCGAGCTCCGTTGATCCCAGCACTCTGGCCCTTCCTGCTTGCTCTTCAGGAGGTTCTCCATCAGCTCAAACTCTTGCAAGGACTGCAGAAAAGGGATAAGAAGGAAAAGCCAAGCTTAAAAAGAAAAAACAAACAAACAGCAAAGTCACCGAAACCGCACTTTTCAAAACATCCAGGCGGCAGATTCCTGCCTTTTTCAACTTACGGGTATCAGGGGTATCAGTCCCTCTCCCTCAAGACAGCAGACTGTACTTGTGGCACAGTGGTTAAACTGCAGTACTGCAGGCAAAGCTCTGCTCAGAACCCAATTTCAGTCCCAATGGACTCAGCCTTCCATCTTTCCAAGGTTAGTGAAATTAGTACCCAGCAAACCATCTCATCCCTTGGTATTACAGTGGTGCCTCGCTTAACAATTACCTCGTTAAACAATGAATCCTCTTTACGATAAGGTTTTTGCAATCGCAATAGTGATCGCAAAACAATGTTTAGATAGGGAAAACTCGCTTGACAACGATTGGTTCCCTGCTTTGGGAACCGATTTTTCACTAGATGATGATTCTAAAACAGCTGATCAGTGGCTCTAAAATGGCCACCTGCTGTGCAAAATGGCTCCCCACTGTGCTTTAGGATGGATTCCTTGCTTTACAGGCACCGGAAAATGGCTGCCTTATGGAGGATCTTCGCAAAACGAGCAGGTATTTAGCCCATTGGAATGCATTGAACAGTTTTCAATGCATTTCAATGGGTTTTTTAAATTTGCTTGACGACGATTTCACTAACAGCGATTTCAACGGAACGGATTATCGTCATCAAGCGAGGCACCACTGTATTACTATTAAAAGAAAAATAAATTATTTAGACAAGTAATTAGCCTCCTCAGACATGCCTTTCCCCACTTTAGCTATTTCCCTGAAACAGGATGACACACACACCGCTTGCCAGTAGATGACCAGGAACCGCTGGTTGGGTGCAGTTTGCTTCCCAGCCGAACAGCTGGCCCACCCCATCCCGTGGGCAACCACTCAGCAGCCGCCCCCTGGAGGAGGTGGGCCCGGGAGCTCCCACTGAATGGACCACGGGGGGGGGGAACAGCTGAAGTTGCCCATAGCTGCTCTAGAGTTTCCTTGCTAGAGCAGTCCTGGGAATTACAGTATAAACACTTATTGGAGTCTTCCTGAAGTATCTGGAGCCTGTTGAAGAATCTTGGATGAAGCAAGGAAATTATGAAGTTTAAATAGAAAGAGGAAGAAAATAGTTCTGCTTTTTTCTAGTAACTAAACTTGGGAAACCCCCTCATGCACTGCTGAGAAAAGGAGGAAGTGAGGTTCTCATCCCTTCAGTTTAAAAAGCAACAACACTGGGCGGCTGTTTCCTCCAAAAGCCAGTGATCGGAAGTACTTCTTTACACAGTCCCAGCTCTGTGATCAGGACCTTGGGTAACAGTAGGATCTTGACTCAAAAGGAAACCCACCACAGGCTGGAGACGGGAGATGGGAAGGCGTCTGTGAAAGGAGTGCCCTTCGCCCTGTGCCCTTTTTCTACCTCTCCCCATCACGTCTTAGAAGACGGCCTGAATCAGGCCATCGAGCCAACGTGCAGTCGGACCACCAGCGCATGGATGAGGCCATCAAGCCACACCAGACTGTCACCAGCGGATGAGCTGGCCCTTCTCCTTGGCTGCCGTTCTCTGCCCGCTGGCTTGGACCTGACTTCTCAGAGCAAGTAAAAGTTAAGGCACAACAGACAGCCATTCTCCCACCCCACAGATGGAGGGCTGGAGGGGAGCTTAACACACTGTAATGAATGTTTTGCCACCTCTATTTTTCCAAATGTGGAATTATTATCTCGACAATCAGTTCCCATCTCCCTCCGCTCTGGAGCCCAAGTAGTTTTCTTTTGATGCATAACAGCTGGCTCTCCCTCCCTCCCCCCCCCCAGCACAGTCAAACGTCCCATTATTTTGCACCCGCTCCTGGCAGAAACAATCTATGCTGAACAGGCTCCAGTTGTATTATAGCAAGCTTAGATCCCATCCCATCCCCAATATGTTGCAGTTGTGGGTTGTTTTTTGGTTGCTATTGTTCTTATTAACTATGCCAGGTTATTCAAAACGCAGCGACTGAAGGGTAGCTGTCATTCCGGGGTCTGATAATTAGGGAGAGATGAATGAGCATCTTTTTGTGTCCAGGCTCTGTCAAGGGGTCAGGGTGTTTGAAACCTGTGTCAAACCTCTGCATGCCATCAAGAACATCTGGCTTAGCTTGCATTGATTTCAGCCAGCCACAACACCGAACAGGAATAAGGTTTACTCTCTAGGTGTCGGGGGTTCCTTTATGTCTCAGCCCAAGTCTCATTGTCTTGTCAAGCATCACACCTCACAGGCAGCCAAGAAGATTCTGATCTCTACCTCTTGTAAATTTTCCAGGTTTCTGAAAGAAAGATTCCAAGTATGATGTTCTGCTCTAGTGAGAACGGCCATTGTAGGTGGTTAAATGGAAAGGGCAAGGAGAACCGATATCTTATCCAGCAAGAATAGCACAAGATCAGTGTATAATTTGACATCTCCTGAATCTCGGCTTTTAGGCATCTCCTGCTTGCATCACTGCCAACCTAGCTGTTCGAAAGCATGTAAAAATGTGAGTCGATAAATAGGGACCACCACGGTGGGAAGATCATGGCGTTCCGTGTCTAGTCACACTGGCCATGTGACGCCGGAAACGGTCTTCGGACAAACGCCAGCTCTACGGCTTGGAGACAAGGATGAGCAGCGTGCTCTAGAGTCGGACACGACTGGAAAAAATGTCAAGCTTTACCTTTATTCGGACAAACACCAGCTCTACGGCTTGGAGACAGGGATGAGCACCGCGCCCTAGAGTCGGACACGACTGGACGAAATGTCAAGCTTTACCTTTACCTTTTACTTGCATCACTCAAGCTGCTAGTCCTTAAGGCTGTGGACAGCAGTGGCCGAGGCCAGAAGGAAATCACAAGCTTCCTTTAATTGGAGAGTCTGTTTATCAGGTCCTGCTGACTCCCTTTCCACAGTTCAGAGAAGCAGATTGAAATCGGGGAAAGGAAGAGAATAACATTTCAGGCGACACACTCTGGGTGTGTCTGGTGCCGAATGCACAAGACGTGTTTTTAGAGCCGACCACAGAGGAGCCCTCCCTCCTTCCTGGGAGGCTGGCCACCTGTCCTCTTCTCCCTCCTTACCTTATTTTTGGGCGCCTTCTCCGAGTTGACGTCGCGCACCGGCTCCTGCTCCGGGGAGGCCTCGCTCTCCTTCTCGGAGGCCAGCCGGTTGTCCAAGTCTTTCTCCTTCCCATCCCCGCCCTCCCCTTTCAGCCGCCCGACCTCCCTGGCCAGCTGCTCCTTCTCGTTCAGGACCTCCTGGCGTTCCCGCTTCAAGCCGGTCAGCTCCTTGGTCAGGGTCTCGAGCTTCTGCCGCAGCTGGCGCACCTCCTCCCGGGCTTTGTTGCGCTCGGCTCGCACTTTGCTCCACTTCTCCCGCCAGTTGGCCGTGCAGTCGGACCACCAGCGCATGGTCTTCTCCATCTGGGCGGCCCGCGCCCGGGCTTCCTCCAGCTCCCGCAGGCGCAGCTCCTCCCGGCTTTCCCAGTCGCCGTCGAGGCAGGCGGCGCTCAGCAGAGGCAGCTGGGGCAGCCCCGGCGAGGGGGTGCCACTCTTTGGGGTGGGGGGCATAGATTCCGACAAGCTCATCCTCTCAGGCGGCGGGCTGCCCAGGATGTGGAGGAGGCTGCTCTTGGAGAGCTGTGGCGAATCAGCCAAGCGCGAACCGGCGCTCGGATCCATTTCACGTTGGGGTGTCCGGTCACCCCTGAACCTCTTCCATCAACAGGCAGGCAAGGAGGGAGGGAAAACTGCCCTTCGTCCCTCGGCAATACCGGCCCTGTTTTTGCCACCGGGAAACCTTTGGTTTCACATGCAACGGAGACCTGGAAGAGACCTTGAAGCTTCCCTTCTTCAAAAATCACCTCGGAAGAAGCCAGTCAGGGGCGAACAGGAAGTCCCCAAAGAAGCAAAGAAGGGACCACCTCTGGAAGTTCCGGCCGATGGAGGCATTTTCCTGGCCCTTGTGCGCTGGAAGAGACCTCTTTCTCTCCAATCTTTATGGCTCCGTCTAAACAAGTCTAGAATCGCCGTGCAAAACGATGGGATGCAGAAGCCTGCATTTTTAAAAAGAAGGATAGAAAAGATAAATCTTGCCACATGCAAGGATCAGCTGCAAAGAACAGAGTGCTTTGTTTTGCATCTACATTTCTAACCCCTAAGGCAGAAAAATCTTCCCGCCCGGACATATAGGCCTGCTGCACTGAAATCAAACTAGGACTCATGAGCTCCTGGGTTCGAATCTTTGCTCAGCCATGGAAACACAGGAACTGGCAAAACCACTCCTTAAATACCTCACTCCCTTAAAAGCCCTGTTTAGAAGGTCGGTTCTGACATGATGGCACAGAACAGCCACCAAAAGGGGTTAAGAAAAGGGCTGGAAATCTTTTATCTTGTCCTGGCACTAAAATACAACAGGGTCTTACCTAATCATGTATAATATCTATGTGTGTGCGCGCACACATGCCTATGTTTGTGTAGGATGCCACAGAAACACACACACACACATACAGAGGCTGACTGGACAGGTTGTGGCATGCACTCTTTTGGGAGGTCAGGGTTAGCTTCCTCCTTATGACCCTTCCACCAACAGTTTGCTTGTTTGTTTAAAATATTTTACCCCCCTTTTCTCCTTAACAGGGTCCAAGGTGGCTTTCAGCTGACGGCCCACCTCTTCAAGCCCCCTTTTCCTAACCACGAAGGAGTCCCTATGTATGCTTGTTTTTAGAGTTTTGAATGTTTTTAAATCACTGAATGTATTTTAATTAGGATTTTTTTAAATTGCTGTGTCTTTCGTTTTACTTGGCTTAACATGGTGAGCTACCTGGAGTTCCCTCATCAGGGGAAAGGTAGCTTATAGAGGAGAGAAAATGAAAATAAATTAAATATTTAATTTCAGGGGGCACATGGTTCGAAGACCAACGCCGAGCGTATTCTAACTCAGCCGAGGGCTCCCTCTTCTCTTCTGAGCTGCCCCCCCCAAATGAACCTTAAACCTCTCATCCTTCAGCGAGGGTCTTGCCCCTTGCTTAAAAGCAACCCACGAAACTCAATCTCGGTTCTGGAGCCCACCTGGCGGCTTCTCTAAGGAAGGGATGGGCGCCTGTGGGGGCATCAGAAGGACGTCACGCCATTTCTCCCCCTCCTTCTTGGAAGTTGGCCTGGAAAATCTAGGGAGGGAGATGGAGGGAGCTGGCGAAAAAGGCAGAGGAGGAATAAATTTTTGCGTGAAAGAAAGAGACAGACAAAAGAAGAGAGGGGTAATTGCATCCAGGCGGGTACAGACAGCAAGAGAGAGGAAGGCACGTGCAGAAGAAACTGGAAACGATCGAGCCCAGACAGAGGCTGGCGAGCCAGCCAAGAGCCAGCCAGGAGACATACCCAGACCATTTCGGTACTGGCCAAAGATAAAACAGACTGCTCACGCTTGGCTTGTGATTTCAAAGGAGGGAGGGTGCAGCTGGAAAAAGAGGGACTGGCCTGGGGGGGGGGTCCTTTTTCCAACCTGGAATAAAAGACGTCCACCCACAGTGTAGCCGGGAAAAAAATAAAAAATAAAAATCGTTGTGCTTAGAGGAAGGTTCATAGAAGCTAAAACTTACAATTCCCTTTGAGACAATCCTAGGCGGTTTATCCGGATGAGCACAATGGCTACAGAAAGTCCCTGGGCTTCAACCATAGGAAGCAGGCGAGCAGGGCCTCTCTTGTTTGGCTTTGCCTAACCTAGAGACATGGTGGTGCTGCAGGTTAAACCGCAGAGGCTTCTGTGCTCCAAGGTCAGAAGACCTGCGGTCATAAGATTGAATCCACGCAACGGAGAGAGCTCCCGTCGCATGTCCAAGCTCCCACCAACCCAGCAGTTCAAAAGCATGGAAATGCGAGTAGATAAATAAGTACCACCACGGTGGGAAGGTCACGGCGTTCCGTGTCTTGTCACGCTGGCCACGTGATCACGGAAACTGTCTTCGGTCTTCAGACAAACGCTGGCTCTACGGCTTGGAGACGGGGATGAGCACCGTGCCCTAGAGTCGGACACGACTGGACTAAATGTCAAGGGAAACCTTTACCTAAACTCACATGCTCCAGGTGTGTTGGATTACAACTCCCATCACTCTTGCCCAGCACCCCCAGGAGCTGGGGTGAATGGGAGCTGGAGTCCAACACAAGAAGTAGAACACCACAGCGTGAGATAAGCAACTCAGACCCCTAGAAGTCATAAATAGAAAAACAGCCAGATAGACCTAGAGTGTCTCTCCCTTTCTGTCTAAACCACTACATGTTGCTATGTAGATTGCTATTCTTAGGATCTACTTCCTTCCTGCTCCTTCTTTGAGCAATAAGTTTGTACTCTTTCTTTGTTGTAGAAAGAAGCAGCCACAAGGTGTCTGACTACAGGCTGCAAGCACACACACACACACACACACTCATCACTCGAGGGTTTTATGAGCTATTTTACAATTTCTCTTACAATGTGCTCTGCATGGATTTCCAGTAATTTCCGTTGCTTTCTTTTTTAACCACTCTTGGAATCTTGCTTTTAACAGCACAAGATGGTTGCTACTATAAATACTTGACTTTTTTTTTTCCTCCCCTGACACAGAGGGAAGCAGAGGAGGCTCACTTAATAACAGCACGGGCCTTGGAAACGGGTGTCTTCTTGCCAATGAGTAGGCCACGGAGAAAGAAACTTTTAAAAGAAAGCAGGGCGAGAACTCCCAAGACTGATCAGGAGGTGTGTTAAGTCCTGACAAAGGCAGGAGGGGCCGGCAGAGCAAAACTGACAGTAGCTGGGGAAGGATCAAAATCTGAAGTGATGGAGACGGAGAGAAAAAACAGGAGGCGTGCGGTTGAACGCAGGGCACTGGAGAAACCATAGGCAAGGCTTTGTTGTCGTTGTTGCATCAAAACCAACAAAACTGACAGTAGCTGGGAAAGGATCAAAATCTGAAGTGATGGAGACGGAGAGAAAAAACAAGAGGCGGTGTGGAGTTGAACACAGGGCTCTGGAGAAACCATAGGCAAGGCTTTCTTGTCATCGTTGTTGCATTAAAACCAACTTACAGTGATCCTAATCGTTTCACTTCCCCAGTGAGTTTCCCTGACGGGACCAGAGCACGCCAGGCCCTCCTGTCTTCCATGGCCCTCCGGAGTTTGGCCAAAAACCCAACTTACAGTGATCCTAATAGTTCCACTCCCCCAGTGAGTTTCCCTGGCTGAGTAGAGATTCGAACCCTAGTCTCCAGAGTCCTAATCTATCACTCTAGCCACCACTGCACCACACTGTGTAGGTAAGCCTTCAGGGCAGGAGAAACCCTAGGAAGTGACGAACCCACCAGAATAATCACCCCACTGTTCACGTGGCACACTTTTCCATGCCCCACACGTCTTCTGTGTGTCAATAATAATCATGATGGACCATCGAATCAGGTGTGAGTTGGGGAATTTAGATGACACGGGGGCGTCTGAAAGTGTCGTTCGAGGCACCGACGGCACCTTGCAGAGTGAGATGGGCTGTGTGTTTATGAAGGTCACATCGGACCCTGCATCGCAAACAGAGGGGCATCCCGGCTCCCTGCTAGCTTTGTTCCCTCATCCCAGCGGCATGTTTTCTCTTTCTGCAGCCCCATGCTCTCTGCTGCTTTAAAAAGAACGCACACACACACACACACACAAGGTCCCTTTTCTGGCTCTCCCAGCAAAAGCGGCATGTTTTCTCTTTCTGCAGCCCCACGCTCTCTGCTGCTTTAAAAAGAACACGCACGCACGCACACACACACACACACACAAAACCCACCAAGGCCCCTTTTCTGGCTCTCCCAGAAAGCTTGTCTGGCGTTTCCATCCACCCACCGAGGCTCCAAAGGCATTCTAGAATTCCATCTCCCAGCTGTGTCTTTTTCCAACCCGAATTCCTGGGCGCTTCTGTTCCAACCCCCTACCCACCCACCCCCAGCGCCATATAACCAGAGAGGTCTGCTCCTCTCCAGTTGATTTAGGTATGGCCAGCAAGCCGGGAAAGACCCTGAAGGAACAGGGAAGGAAACAACACAGAGCTTCCCAAGGTCCACGAAGCCACCTCCTGACGGACGGTCCTGGGGATGTTTTCTCCCCCCCCCACACACCAATATCCCCAGGGCTCTTTCTGAAAGCATGGGAGAAAGAGCCCGTTGGGAGGACGACCCCTCTTCACTTGGATGACCATCCTGCCTTTTCCCATCCAGGATCAAAAAAGTGCTCATGGCGAAACCGTTCTCTAAGCAACTGCATCCACACAATCATCCGAGATCTGCCGAAAAGCTTCCCCCAAGAAGGGTCGACAGCAATAGGATGAACAGTGAATGGCACTCCTTGCCAGTTTCTTACAAATGTGGGCTCTATCATGACCCCTAAGGCAAGAGTGTCCTTTGGTGGCTTAGACCTGAACCCAGCTCCAGTATGTCTGCATTCATCAGTCTCAGCATGCAGAGAATTTAATTTTCAACCCAGTATCCGGCATGCAGCTGGAGGAGGCTGGGGAAGGTGGAAAGCAGCAGGGAAAGAGGAAGACCAACGATGAGATTCATTGACTCCCTAAAGGAAACCACAGGCTTGAGTTTACAAGACCTCAGCAGGGCAGTGGAGGACAGGAAATTTTGGAGATGGCTCACTCATGGGGTTGCCATAAATGGGAAGCGGATTGACAGCCCATCACAAGAACAGTTCAGTATCCTGCAGAAATTTCTGAACTATGATGATCTGTCTGAAAGCCTAGCAGAATCTTAGAAGCTGGAGAGGGTGCTAAGCAAGGTCACCAGTGATGGGCTATGTTATGCAACTCCTTGCCCATCTCTATGGAGAGGAGAGGCAGAATAAATTCTGCAGGCCAAGAAAACACACACAAAATAGACTTCAGGCTCATAATGTATGCAGATTGCAGTATTTTAAAACAGGGAAGAGACAGAATATTGATTACGGGCCACAGAATACATCCAAGCTGGTCTATCTGTTGCAGAAGCAGGGGATATTGGAAGAGACTGGGAAAAATATTTGGGGAAGGGGAGGAAGATACTCTTCCCAG